AATAAGAAATGAAACACTCCCCCAGACCTGGGTCTCCAGTGCACATATGTTAATTACACACCAGAGAGTAAAGCCTCAGTATGTGCAAGCATTTAATTCATTATTTGCATTTATTAAAAACATTCCTTTTCACTTTAACAATACAGTACCCTAACGGTGAAATAACAGCAATTCAAATGTGGTCATTTACAGACATGCAGTTTCTTGTGCCCATTGTATAGTGCAGCGCTGCCAAGTCTCACACCTTAGGAGTAAGCTCTTTCTCTCTCCTCTCTCAGTCACACACATACATGCAGACACATACAAAATTCACGTCTGCTCTCACCTATACTCTTTTGGGAAAACCCACAAATTTCATCAATCTCACTCATACAGATTTTAAAATTCTGGCAGCTTTTGAATAGCTTTTCTTCATCAGCTGCAATTAAGTGTTGGAAAAGAAATCCAAAATACACAGAGAGAGACCTTCTCCTTAATAGGAAATGTTAGCAATAGTATGTGATTTCTAACACGTTCCAAAGTTTTGCCGCACCATCTTACTGGAAGGCAAAGTCTGCATGCCCTGTGATTAGATTTCCTTAAACACTGGGCAATTCAGTGTTGTCAGCCATAATATAAAACATTATTTATTACTATTTAACTGTTTTATGAGTATAGTTAATAGCTTTCTGTAATATGATCTTAAAGAAGTTGATTAAGTGTGCTTTACAACGTGACCAGAAAGAGCTTCCGATTAGTGACATCAATATATATATTTTACATCTCACATGGCCCATACTTTTAAAAGTTCGGAGTGTGGAAATAGGAGTCAAACCAAAATGAAATCAAATCGTTAGAACCAAAGCGTTTCCTTACCACACTTCATCAATATCATCATGTCACGATCGATTGAATATCCACAACATAAAGTACCTCTCTCTTGTAATAAAACCCAGAAATACATAATTTTTCTGTCACTCACACAAAGCAAAGATGGGCCTCAGGGGCAGAATTCAGGGCTGGATCTAAAACTCATCATGGCTTTGGCTCAGGCTATAATGCAGAAAACAAACAGACAAAATGTTAGGCTCTGGATTTGAATAAAAGTTCAAATATGTCCAAGGTTAAACAGATGTGACATGGACCTACCTCTAATTTCAAGGCTATAAATTGCTAAAGGAGTGCACAGGTTTTAAAAGACAGTATAGTTATGAAAATAGTAAATGTTTTCCAAATATGCAAGACTGTTCCTCGGGAGTCCGCACTTGCCCCACACTTCCTTTGGCAATTCTGGTTAGCTGCTTCCAGTTCCTCATTCGTCTCATGCCTGAAGAGGGACTAGTCTCATCCTGGCAAAGAAAGTCTCAGTATAATTACAAAGCAGGGGTATTTTTACATCCCAGATTGACTTTCAAACTTCTTTGGAATCACAGACTGGATCAATGGGCCGAGGCCAACTGTATGAGTTTCAACAAGGCCAAGTGCTGGGTCCTGCACTTCAGTCACAACCACCCCATGCAATGCTACAGGCTTGGGGAGGAGTAGCTGGAAAGCTGCCCGGCAGAAAAGGACCTGGGGGTGTTGGTCAACAGCCAGCTGAACATGAGCCAGCAGTGTGCCCAGGTGGCCAAGAAGGCCAACGGCATCCTGGCTTGTATCAGGAATAGTGTGGCCAGCAGGAGTAGGGAGGTGATCCTGCCCCTGTACTTGGCACTGGTGAGGCTGCACCTCGAGTACTGTGTTCAGTTTTGGGCCCTTCACTACAAGAAAGACATTGAGTTGCTGGAGCATGTCCAGAGAAGGACAAAGAGGCTGGTGAAGGGTCTGGAGAATAAGTCTTACTAGGAGCGGCTGAGGCAACTGGGGCTGTTTAGTCTGGAGAAAAGGAGGCTGAAGGGAGACCTTATGGCTCTCTACAGCTACCTGAAAGGAGGGTGGAGGGGGGTGGGGGTCGGTCTCTTCTCCCAAGTAAGTAGTGATAGGATGAGAGGAAATAGCCTCAAGTTGCATCAGGGGAGGTTTAGATTGGATATTAGGAAAAATTTCTTTACTGAAAGAGTTGTAAAGCATTGGAACAGGCTGCCCAGGGAAGTGATGGAGTCACCATCCCTGGAGGTGTTCAAAAAACGTGTAGATATGGCACTTCAGGACATGGTTTGGCAGGCATGGTGGTGTTGGGTTGACGGTTGGACTTGATGATCTTAGACGTCTTTTACAACCTTAATGATTCTACGATTCTAGTAATGTTGAAATCCAGTTTCTGCATCCACATACATTTTTACCTTATTTAATATTTCTGTCAAAACCACAATCTTAATTTGCCATTGTATATTTGTCCTCATATTTATGCACTTCAGAAATTGAAACACTAAGAAAAGAGTTCTGCCAGCTTTTTATTTCCAAATAAATACCCTGGTGAAATGTTTTTCATCAACAAAATGAGACATACATTCTTGGGGAATTGTACCTCTAGACATGAAAAAAGAGAGAACTGATTTATTTTCAGCCTTAACCAGAGAAGGCCACAGGAAGACCCTATTGCTGTCTACAACCAGCTAAGCAGAGAGCGTAGAAATGGTGGAACCAAACTCTTCTCAGAGGTGCACAGTGAAAGGACAAGAGGCAACAGACAAAATTGGAATTTGGCAAATTCCAATTTGATACAAAGAAACTTTTTTCAATGAGTGTTTTCAACAACTGGAAGAGGTCCTCTAAGTGACAGTGGAATCTCCATCCTTGGAGACATTCAAAACATGTCCTGGTAAAGCCCTGAGCAACATGCTCTCCTTCAACCTGCTCTGGAGCTCCCATCCAACCTCCATGGTTCTGATTCTATGACATATACAGCGAGAATTGCATCAAAAAGATACTTGACATTCACTATTTTTTTCCTTAAAAATCACCCAAATATTGGCTGAACACTGATTCTACATGTTTAGAGTACAATTCTGCTATAAATGAAAAGTATACCATTTGTTGTAAAATACTGGCTTGAGTGAAAACAATTTCCTGTTACTGAAATCAGTGGGGTTGGAAAGGTGAAAATCAAGTCAGAAGGAAATGGGATTATTGCCATCATACCTGTAATAAGCTTTTCTAATTGGATTGGTGTATTAGTGTTATAGAGTCTCACAAGACTAGGGATTCATTAGAAATGCTGATATCAAACTTCTTTTTTATTTCACTATTTAAAATATTTTGTGGAGAATGTAGGCAAAGATAGAAAACTAGTGGGGTTTTTTCTACTCAAGAGCACGTTTTTCAAAAGATTTATACCACATGGATGAATTTCAGGAGATAGTGTCTCATGACCCCTGCTCAGAAAATTCAAACTGATTAAGGCACTCAACCATTAATTCTCAAAGCAAGTGCAAGTTTCACCAGTCCCAATCACATTTTTCTTCATCCAAATCTTTGTTTCTACCAGTACAAGTATATTGGTTGTGGATCCTGGGATCACAGTGTACAACTTGTCCATTTGGGGCAAGACCTTCGTTTCTCCAAGGGGCAATAACAAAATGAGAAAGGGTTCTGCACCGTCTTTCTGAAGAATAGCTATAAATTCTAGAGGGGTAAAACTGGCATCTAAACTTAGGATACAAATACATATATGAGAACACTTATTAAATGATGCATTTATTTCAATAAAGATGCAGAGTTTAGAAATACATTTTTTTCCTGAAAATTGTGGTTATAAGTATGAGAAAAGACAAGATTATTCTTGATTTATTTGTCCTAATATTTTTTCTGTACATGTGACAACCAGTATATGTAGTTTGTTTTACCTCTTACATATACATTTAGCAACAGAAGTAACAACTTAATACTGAATTATGACTAAACTATAACCAACACTTTTGACTGAATGAACATTTATGAACTGAGCACGGAAATACTTCAAGTTTCTTTAAAAACTCAGAATTGGGGATAATTATTTTATTTTAAATTAGGAAACAGAGTTTTTTTCCAAGCATTCACTGTAAAAACTTTGTTAGCTGCCAAAGAACATCTTTATTTCAAACTCCCCCTTATATTCCCATAAACCAGCATTATAATGGTGTTAAATGAAAGCAAAACTGCTTAGTCTCACCAGCATTGACACTCCCCAGCGAGTGACTGTAAACCCCAAGTTCTTCCCAAGTCCCAGCCCATGAGAACAGCATCTTGTGACTCTCAGACAACTCTTATCAGTTCATACAGAGCAATGAGCAGCGAGGAGAAGAAATAGAGGACAGAGATAAAAAGAAATGGCTCTCCCCACCTCCTTAGAAATATTTATTGCTTCTCTGATTAACATTCTAGTTTCCACTACAAAAATTGATCTGGTCTTAAAGGAGGGAGTGCTGCACATACATACACTTCTTGTGTCTTCTGAAATGATCTGTTAGTACAACGCAGGGAATTTATTGCTTTCCAGGGAAAATGGAAGATATGGATGATAAAAGAAATTGTTAACTGTGTATATAAATCAAAGCATTACTTAGTAACCTGTGACATACCTGAAGACATAAGATTGTTTTCAGAAACAAGAAGCACAAAACAGAAGCAAGTCCAATGAATAACCTTAATTACTTGAAAGGACAGTTTCTATGCTCCAGCTTAAAAACATTTCTGTGAGGACTGACCATGAAAAAGCTGGTGAACTTCTCAAAAACCTAAGGCAATAATTCTAATAATTAATTCTATAATATTCTATAATATAGTATTAATTCTAATAACAATGTCTTTCCAAATAACCTGTTTGTGGAGAACACACATGAAAACATGTAAGAAACAGTAGTAGCAAAGACAAAGAGGTAAAGGTGATGTTGAAGACAGTTTGTGGTAGCAACCAGCGTTGGGCGTACTGGGAGAAGTCCTGCATGCCAATGATGGCTACTCATCACTGTTTGGTGTTACTCAAGTAAGTGATCTATGACTCGACTTTGGATGAAATTCAGGTATTTATGAGGCAATGTACTTCTGCAGAGATCTGCCAAAGTCCGAGGTGCATGGGTTTTGGAAGGGGGACTGCGGACGAGATGATTAAATTAGGGTACGTGAGTATTATCGAGGTAACGTGGTGAAAACGAACATGGCAGAGGGGGAACTGTGGTAGGGGGCAGGCGTACTTCATGGGGTAACAGCTGCACGGCCCCACAGCCGCTGGGAACAGAG